TTTAGATCACTACATGGTTTTAGGTGAAGTGGGAATACTTTTATTGAAATTAATTATTTACAATATTATTAAGGAAAAGGGTAAGTTAGAAAATTTAGTCGAAGAGATTTTATACTGTGCAGAGAGTCAAAAATATCATGCCAAAAATATCCCCTGTTCATCACTCAAGGAAGAAGTCCTTTTACAACTCAGTTATTTTTCTAAATAGTAAAGGAAGTACCTTTAACCAATTAAAAATAAGTAACTATAATAATGATGTTTGAGTGTTCTGGGGGCTGAGTATATTTTGTTTAAATGTTGCTTGTCAAATTTAGATGTCAGACCATTAAAATGGCTTCTGTGTGAGGAAGGTCAACAGCTAGCCTTCTTGAGCGTTTTTTTCTTAATATTTTTGTCTTAAGGTATTGGTAAGTATTAAGAAAAATAATACGTTTTGTCACGTGTCTTGCTGTCATGCAGCTATCTGCACCTAACACACAATTTTGACTGAAGAAAAGAGATCTGTTTGTATCATCTTCTTTGTAGGTGTGTTCCTAATTTGTTATCAGATGTTTTCATAGAATAGTTTTCTAATATCTGACAAATATATTGGAAATCTATTTAAGTAAATTAATCAGAGCATAGAGGAATGTAGGAGTATTCCCTAGCTATAACATAGTGTAGCTTCATTTTTCATTTTGCACACAATTCTCTGATTTAGGGATTTAAAGTTAAAACTGAGCTAGTAATTTTCAGGCTGAACCTAACTGTAATTGGTAAAATTAATCATACTATCTTATGTGAGAAGTCGAGATTAAGAAAACAATGCTAAAAAGTGGCCAAATGTAAACCCAAAATGTAATTAATGCCAAAAAGGAAGATTTCTGAAATATGAAGTATTCTTTCTATGAGATGTTCAGTATTTTATGTTCTTCAGTTGCTCACCTGTCATTTACATACACACAATGAAAGGATGTTAGGTAGAAGGAATGAAAAAGTATATTGTTGAGATAGAGGATGTGTTGTCTTGCACTTTCGGATTATAGCAGTGGCTGCAAATCCAGGAAGGCTTGCAGGTTTTGTTTGTTTTTTCTCTTTCTGATTTATCGTACTTTTCTGCTGATTCTTATATACTGAGTATTTGAAAATACTATATTAAGAAGGCATGGCATAATGCTTACATTCTTCTATTGCAATTATTAAATAGAGCTAGTATTAAATAGAGCTGTGTTGATTACACATCACTTTAAGCAAACACAGAAGAAAAATTGAACGAGAGATTGTGGCTTTGAAGTTAGTCCTGTGAGTTACAAATCTCAGCATCTCCTTTGGAAAACTTGAATCAGTAAGTGGAAAATATTCTTTCCATGTGCTTCTTCCATGATAAATTAGTTCATGATGAATCCCATCCTGTAGCACAGTTTGTTAAACAGTGCATGTGATCTTTTTAAAAAAACTGTTTTTTCAGGCAGTTGGTTATGCTAATTAAAAATAGATAGATGTGAAAGATACATTTCTCTTAATAGCTAACACAGGTGCATTCATTTGCAAATTAATCTTAAGTTGCTCTGCAGAATTCAGTCAGTGCTCTTGCATATGTCTCTCCATTCCTCTTGTAGCAGTTAGCTGTGGCAGTAGCTTATTTCACTTAGACAAGCTGCTCTTGCAGACTTGTAGTAAGTCCTCAAAGCAAAAAAACCCCATTCCTCATTCCCTCAGCAGAATTTGAATCCTTTGCCCTTTTCCTCTTGTTTTAAAGTGATATGGTGTTAATGATTGCTGTGTTTATTTCCTCTAATTTCTTTTGCCTTTCTCACTAAGGTATGATTTTTTTTACCAGTTGCTTTAAGATGCTTATCAGTGGATATGTGTCTCTGAATAACCAGGTGCAGGAGCAATAGTTGTTTCCAATCTGGATGATGACTTTGGGGGTCCAGATGACCCATCATGTGAAATTAATCAGTTATGGGTTAGTCAATTTTGTCTTGTATGCAATTGTAAATTTTATGGGATTTTTGGAGTCAGAGATTACTAGGACTCGATAGATACGCCATGTTTGCTCATACCAAGTTATTTTCAACTTTTGGATGAGTGCCAATTCTCCAAAAGATTTTAACATCAGCATTAGCTGTGAGTCTGGGGAAAAAAAATCTTGGAGAGTTCTATTTGTATTAATAGTAATCCAAGCTGATAGTAGATGCAGACAGCCAAAGCCTCTTAGGCTGAACACAGTAATAGTGATGTTGTAGCAAAACCTTGATATGCATCAAATGCATAACTAAGACAGATGATATTCTAGTTGAAAGCCATTCATGAGATGTGTTAATGAACAGAACACCTTGTCATTCAGAATAGTGGTTATTCTGGTCCTCCTGTCTTCAAAAGAAGAAAATGTAATCTGTCTGAGAAGAAAGCCTTAAATAATAGGCTAAAACTCAACTGTGGCCGTCTCCCTCTCCTTCCTCTCCTGTCTCCAGAGGTGCTACTGAGTTTCCTGGGGTGCTGTGAAGTCTCACTTTCATGTGAAAAGGTAAATTGGTTCACTCTCAAATGAAAGTACATTTCAAATGAGCCCAGCTGTTTGGCAGCAGTGTTGGGGGAGGGAAGCTGTGAGGAGAATTTGGTTTCTTAAATTCAGTCACCAGCACTTGTTAAGCAGCTAAACTTCAGAGAGAGATGTTTCCTCCCATTCCCTCCAGCCCTAGTTCACAGCTTTTAAAATGTGCCTATAAAGTTTTTTTTAATTCTGAAAAAGGATCCCAGAAGCAAAGGATTCACTGCTTAGTCCCAATTCCTTTACTGTAAAGCAAAACTATTTTAAAGTAGATGTTGGCATCTTAATGGATGAAGAAGGAAGGAAGGAAGGAAGTCCTTTAACTTCCTATCCAACTAAAATCCTTAGTATGTTTTAAAGGTGTGGATCATTGACAGTCTTTTCTTACAGTCATTTTCTGCAGTTCCTGTTTTGGTGCTTTCACTTAGTTCATTTATTTAATAGGTTACATTTTTGAGAGAAGCAGACCCTGATGATCATCTTTCACGTCTTGATAACATGCCACCACCAGTTCCCAACCTGGGAATTCCTCCAAAAATCTCAAATACAGTATTTTTTTCTCATGAAAATGCTGTTACAACCTCACTGAAATGTCATGGAAGTAATATCTGTGTTTATATAGTCCTTTTTATTCAGAAGGCTGTGTGTGATTTTCTGTGGTCAGAAAAGGTGGCGTTTGTTCTGACCAGAGTTGGACAAAAAGCCAGGCCAAGGAAGCAGAATGTCGCTTGGCAGTCGGGTCCTGCCCTAACAAGGAGAATGGTTTGTGTCTTGTCATGCTTTCCTGCCACCTGTGCCAGGTGAGGGGCAACACGCTGGACAGGCCCATAAGGTGGAGAGGAGAAGCAGTTTATCTACGGGAATTGAAACAACAGACAGCATGTACAGCCTGCTTCTTCCAGTCCTGTCCTCTCTCACTATTGCGCGGTTGTTCAAGTCCACCTGATGATGGGGCCAGACTAGTTTATGTGGTCTGCTGTGGGCATGCCTTCTCTGCACAAACGGGAGAACCTGTGCATCCTGGTGGGTTGGCGTGAGAAGAGGGGACTTCTCTCCTTGCCATAGTGCGTCTGGAATTCAGCTGGGTAGGTTGTGGGCAGAATTAAGATTTTTGCCGTTTAGCATGTGGTAAGGGATCTTGTTCCAAAACTCATCAGAGCTGGGAAGCAGATTTAGAAGGAGAAAATTTGGCAAGGGGAGTTGAGGCCACCCAAGCCTGGTGAAGTAGGGAAGCAGCTTCCTGTACATTATTCCCCACTCACATTTCACCCTTCCCCTTCAAAGTTTTATGAAAGATGGTGGCAGAATCCCAGCAGTAGCTGCACCGAATTGGATGTACTGATGGCAGGAACAATCAAAGAACACAGTATGGTTTTATTGCTAGGTGGGGTTTCCAGATGACAAAGAAGTCGCAGCCTGATTGAACCACAGCCCTTGTGTCTGTGTATGGCTGGGACAATAGAGACTAGCTCTCGGTTTCGTTCAAATGCTAGTGTAATCTGACAGGTGCATTATGTGCATGGCTAAATCAATGAACAGTAAAGGGAAATAGCAAGTTGCCATGAAAAGGAGATGGAATCTATTGGAGAAATGGAGATGGAGAAATGTTTCAATTATTGTATTTTGGACCTCATGAGAGATTTTGGGACATAATGAACTATTAACGTGCATTGAAAACACTAATACTGCTGGAGTTGAAGTGATACTACTTACAAAGCAAGATTTTTGTTAAATATATAGCACAAAAGTAAGAAAAATGTACTGTTGATGGTAGTTTTAAAAGTTTTATTTGGGGATGATCTAAGCTTAAATGGATTTGTTAATTATAAAACTTTGTGACTCATTAAATTAATTATGTTCAGAAAAGTAAAGTATGAATTTAATTGAGTTAGCTGCAGGGGTGAAACTGATGGTATATTCCTAGTGGTGCTGTTTGCATTACAATATTCCTGAAGGTAACTGTTTTAAAACTTCTTAATAGCTCCTGCTTTTCAAAATACTACATCTGTTAATGGTTGCATTTTACTAAATTTTCCTGTGGTTATCTCAGAGGACTACTCCAAGTCTGGAATGGGTGCTTGTGAAAAGTATGGCAAGAGTATACCTTACACACATAACTTCTAAATGTACCATGAATTAATCGTAATATCTGAATTAATTTTAACTGTAATAATGCTGTAAGTTGTTGACATTCTGTGGTATGTGCTATCATAGTAAAACTACACGGTATAGTTTCACATCATGTTTGTGAAAATCATTTAACAGACTGAGTAAATTTGCACATATAATCTCACAGCTGTTTAAAACTAATATGGCATATGAGTAATATGTAACCTACTGGACTAATGCCAAAGCAGTGTACACTAAGAATTCATTCCCTGCTTTATTTAGTTTCTTTCATAACGACATTTTAATACTTAGGAATGTAAGTAAATACTTTTTCATTGTGTTTTCTTTTCTTCAACAGGACACTACCAGTATAGAAAAAATGTCAAACTGTTGTGAAGACATGTAAGTGCTGTAAAATTTCTACATTTATTTGCTGAATAGCTAAAGGAATAGCTGCTTTTTTTAACTATGTGAGAGAGAAAAGGAACTGAAGGCACTGTTGGGATTATTTTGCATGGTACTGTGCCTTGTACTTCCTATCTCCGGCAGCAGCTCACTGATCTTTTAATATGGTTGTACACAAAGTAGCCTCACATTATTCCCATTCCTTCCAAAGCCAGTGGAACTATATTTTCTTTCAAAAGTGCCGATCAAAAGACACTTTCTGCTGTGTCTTGACATACATTTCATTGATTCTGAGGTTCTCCTCTGCTTCAAAAGTTGCCTTCGGTTGATTGACGACACAGATAGTTTCTGTTCTCCGAAGTTAAGTCTCAGCTGCATGCCATAATGAAAGAAAAGCTGTATTTGTGATGCTGGGACACAATTCATCAGAGTCCAGAAATGGATCCCCAGCCAACCTGCATTGTTCTAGCTGACTGAAGTGCACCATGGGCATGCTGTCTTTCACTAATGATGCTGTCTTCTGTAGATCGAGGCCCCGAAAGCCGTGGCAGCAGACCTTCTCAGAAGTTTTTGGCACTCACTGGAAGATCCTGTGGTTTATTCCTTTCAGGCAGAGGCAACCACTGCGAGTTCCCTACCACTTCGCCAATCACGTCTGAACAGATGGATGGTGGGCACAGATGGGTCCTCCATGCTGGAAGTGCGTTACAGGTTTTATGATAATAGGACTATGACAGCCTTCAAGTCAATTAAAATCCACCCACCAATCGTAGGCATCACAATGTGCCCCAGGCTTTATTTTAATAGTGGTCTTTATTCTGTTCCGAGATTAATACAAGTTATATGTTTAACTTTAGGCATATTTTCTTTCAGATTAGCTTTCCAAAGGGATTTATTTTGTCTTTAAGGTTAATACCAAAACCAAATGACTGGAATGCAGTCTTACTCTATTTGTTTGATACTGGCTTTTTTTTTTTTTTGGTAGGAAACACTGAAGTTTACATTGATTGTTAGCTTTCCCACTAAGTGTCTTATTCTGCCTTGAATTTTTTTTAGTATTTTTATCAGTAGGTCTGTCTAGATAATATTCATGTCTTTTTTCTGCTACATGTGTTTAAAATTCCCTGATACTGCCATTTGTTTATGATATGCAATAGTAATCCTGCAGCACCGCGCTATTAAAGGTAACATTTGAAACTGAGGCAGACTTCTTCCTAAACCTTTCTCAGAGAGGTTTTTATAAATACACGTAAATTTATGTGTTTATATAGAGAGATCTTATGTCTTACAGTTATCTTTCTGGGTAGATATGATCTTAGTAAAAAAATATTCATGTCTTTATGTCAACAAAAGTGATAAAATGTTCCAGGGTAAAATATGCAGATAGAAAGCATGTTTTCCCTATGTCCTGAGGATTTCTTTGCAATAATTCAACAAAGAAGTTGTATGGTGCAAATACTAGAATGATTACTTTTTAAAAATACGGATTTAATTAGTTAGCATAATGTACCATAAAGAAGAGTATATTGTCAATAAAGTTATAAATTTTATATTTACTTTTGTTTTTTCATGATTAGCTGGAATTGGTCTAAGTGTTTGTATATGGGAAATATATGTGAAAATATTTTAAAATATTTATACATAAATGCAGATATTTGCTACTAACATGTATAGTAAAGTACATTAACTGATTTAATAGGGTACTCTGTTGATGTACGATAGCTTGTTATGGGCCCTTTAAGTATGGAAGTCGTTAACCCAAGAAAGCGTCCTTAAGAGTACATCTGCTAAAATGACAATGATTCCCAAAGTACTGGCTCAGCTTCGCTGTATCTCGAAAAATTGTGTAATTTATTATAGCCCTCTGTATCGATACAAATATCGGCATGAGATGTTTGTGATTTTTGAAAGTTCTGTGAATTTTTTTGAGAAATTCACAGCTTCAGTGTTTTCAGTTATGCTGCTTGCTGTGTTTGTTGTGTAGCCTGTCGGGACTAGGATCCACCTTAAATGACAGCCCTGCAACTGGATAATAAAAGGCACAAAATCAGGATGTAATATACGTAGGTTGTGTTTGGAGAGAGTGATTGATTGTGAACAGAGGGCTAGATTTGTCATGAGTGCTATTCATAATGAATTTTTAGATCAACTGCTTAGTGGCATTCATAATGAATTTTTAGATCAGCTCTTTTAAGATCAGCTCTCTGAGATCAGCTCATTATGGTCAGTGTCAATGTTGGGTGTCCCCTTATTGAATTAACAGATTTTGATGATCCATTGAAAGTTCCAAAAGGTGCATCTTAAAAACCACTTGAATTTTAAACTTTTGTAAACTTCTAACAATTGAACCAACTTTACTTTCCCTCTCCTTTAAAAGTAGATGCAATATTTTTATTTAAGTTTCAAGCCTAATGTTCAACCGCTTTTTTCACAGCATTTTTAGACGTGAGTTTAGACTTTCTTTAAGATAGTATTGACAGCAATATTTAAACAAAGGAAAGCTTGAGGAAAGTGGATGGAAAGGCTGGAGCAGTGCTTGAAATTAAGAAGAATGCACATATACATATATGGCTGTATTCTCTCTTTTTTTAAGGAGTTCCAGCGTTATAGTCTCTGTGAAACACATAGGGGAATAATAGCAGTTTTGGTTTTCATGCCAATGTTTAAATCTGTTTCATGAGCGAAACATAGTAGTTTTTAAAGTTTTTCATGCTAATCAATTACCATAGTTAGCAGATCATACAGTTCTGAAGCTTATTAAGAAAGACCATCAGGAATTTAACGATTCTTGATACATCCACTGTGGGGGCTGTCCTGGTTTCGGCTGGGATAGAGTTGCTTTTCTTCCTAGTAGCTGGTATAGTGCTGTGTTTTGGGTTATTCTTTCTGTTTTCTAGCATCATTGTTTCTGTAAATTTAACCGTGCATGGAGAACCAAATCTGTAACGCAGAATCTGCTCGACGGTAGGAGCGTTGGTTGTAAACAGTGTATTTCATTTCTGTACGTGATACACAGTGGAGTAGTGGGACCATTAAATTTTGCCTGCTCTGTGGGGATAAAAACCCGCAAGCAGCCCAAATGGCATCGCGTGTGCTGTATTCCGGT